GAGACATGGAATCTGAGTGCCACTCAGTGTGTCTACACCGTCTTCGGTACTTACTCCCGGAGGTGATGGAATTGGGATGAAATAGTAATGCTCCTTCTGCCCGTGACCACGCATACGGAACGCGGGAGGTACATCTCTGCAGTGCGAATTGCTAGCGAAGCGACGATATTTTGAATTCGAGACCCCACCTCGAGCGTGGATGATGTCAGCAGCTAGTTCTTGCTGAGCCCGGCTTTGCAGCCTGAGTTTGGTTGATGTGTGAAACTCACACAGTGCGAGCATCTCTAATCGATTGTCGTGGAGTGCAACCCATACTTGTTTGACCGCTCCATGATTTCCAGCGCTTGGGGTCGCCGGCTAAGATTGATGTAATGTTAGTTAACCACTTTGCGCCAATTGGCATTTTGTTTGAGACCCACCAATCAATTTGTCTTTTCCCGGTTCGATTCTAATCACTCGAGAGAGCCCAATTTCAATGCCATTTCAAGCCCAGTGCCCGATTTCTCCAAGAAATAGAATTCAATTCAAGTTAAGCAGAAAGCTGATAGAATATTCGATGACTACATACACACATGCTTCGTTTAACATAGGATCGTCCTGACAAACTCAAGTTTGTACGAATTAAGCTGTATGATCAGTGGCTAGCAGGATGTACTATAATTTATGCATGCTTGTCTTATCAAATCAATAGGGCGAGACGGTAGTGTTACGAAACACACAACGAACGTAACTGACCTTGTGGAAACTCATCAAGTCGATTAGCTCATATTGTCTTAACGAAACAAATTCGATAAAGAGTTACCATATTGGATTTCCATACAGGTTTCACAGTCCAACGAAAAGACAAGTTCTTCATCGCTCAAAACGATAACAATAATTCCCATAGGATTGGACCATTGCAAGTTGGCATCGCGAAACGTCTTTCTAGATTTCTCGTGTCACCACACGCCGATGACTATAATGAAACAGTTGCTAACAAGTCATCACTAATTAATATCATTGATATATTCACCCAATCTTGATCTGGCATATATATCATCTCATGAGATCAACACATTCTCAGTCGAGCTAGGCATAAGAGTTCTCTAACTCAAACACTTCCATTGACATAAGGGAACGCAAAGCGACTTTGTTTTTCTAAGAAGCCGCGCCTTTAAATTTCCGAGTAATTATCGTGGTACTTATCAACAACCGCTATTATTTATCGTGTAAATGGACAACACAGTAAACGTCGTGAAACTGCTAGTACAACCAACAACGTCGCAAGAAAACTCGAGGAGGGCCGAGCATTTCAACAAATGATGAATAAATGCTATTTCAATCATCATTAGTAAAAACACCAAGGCTTAGTTAGGGCAGTCTCTGGCGAAGTGACCAGGCTGACCACACTTGAAACAGTTCCTGCCCTCAGCACCTGACAAGAACAATACTCAACAACTAAGAACTATAGGCAAACTGCTTACCACGTCCACGAGGAGCGCGATCGCTCTCGGGCCTGGTGTCCTCGTTAGGGCAGTCACGAGCAAGATGACCGGTCTCGCCACAACGGAAACATGCCCGGGTGTCGGGAGCAGTGCAATCCCTGAGAAAATGAGGTTAATTCATAACTGAATACTGGACTGTGGTCTCACCTGGCGAAGTGACCGACTTGACCGCATTTGAAGCAAGGCCTTTGGTTGGTCTGCTCATTAGGGCAATCACGAGCGAGATG